CAAACAGGAGCCAAAGCCATAAAAACTGTTACCCTAAACAAAACTTATTACCCATGTTGACACTTTAGGCAAGATGGAGAAATCTTGGGCTGGACTGACTCAGGGTAAGAGGAACCACATCTTCTGAGGTTGCAGTAAAAATTTTCTTAATATTTTTCTTCCGGGGACCAGTGTGGCTCCTGTGGCCACAGAGCAGCTGTGCTACCGCCGGCTGTGCTCTGGGGAGGGAAGAGCTACGCTTTCTGATCAGGGTCAAGATATCTTGATATCAGGGTTGGGAAATTTATTAACAGAGGATTTTAATGACGCTGTTTGTTACAACAGCGCACCCGCTTCTAAAACCCAGCAACGCTTCCGTTTTCATCTGACCATAAGCGTTTATGCATTTTAAATGTGAATATGAAATAAAACCAGTCGAACTCAAGAAATAGAAAACTCGTACTCGGTAATTAAAGTATTTTGAAGGCTGATTTTGTTCCAAGAGGAACTGTCAATGCCAGAAATTCATAGGTTTTTAGGGAACAAAACGATCAGCAGCATAACGCAAGCCACAGACTGTCAGCCAGTCAACTTCAACACCTTCTAAACATTTAGTTGAACAGGAACAAAAATCACAAGTCTTTTAAAGCCTAACTTATTTCATACATTTGTATAAACTAGCAAAGATGGGGTTTATTTAACTCTGACCTGTTATGTACAGGGTAGCACGTCACTGTTGCAAAATGCTAGCCAAAGCATGCGAGCTTACCGAGTTTTAACGTTACATCTATTTTTACAATGTTTTTTACATTTCTGTTTGAAGGGGAACCAAGGGAGATGGTACGGGCGGGTTGGGCAGGCACACAGGATAATTCACATGAGGCCAGAAAGATTTGTCCAAAGCCAGGCGAGCAGCACGCGGCAGAGTTATTCCTCTGTCACCGCCGTGCATGACTCCGTGGGCTTTGCGCTCACTCTCTTGCAGTAGCACTTGTCGCTAAGTGAGACTCAGTAATACTCTTTTCCCAGCTTTATATACTCGGAGCAGAAAATATCTGAGGTTTTACATCTGCTCAGTTCAATACAAAGGATTTAAAAGGGAGCAAACTGAAGAGACAGAATTCACGTGCGCTGTAGCAACTCGAGGACAATGAACCAATCTAACTTCGTGTTTGAACACGACCGGCGCTGTGCCGTTTACCAACAAATCCTTTTTACCGACGATGACCTTGCAACGAATGCTGCTGCGCTTAGCAACAAGTGGCGAACATCCTTCAGGAGAGGAAGATGGTGAATTGCTCTGCCCTGGCCAGCTCCCACTCCTGCACATACTGCACTCTGGCCTGCCTCAGTATTCCTGGCATGAAAAGCCTGTGAGATGCCCTCTGCTCGCTGTTTTGCACCATTGCACGGTGTCCCTGGCTGATGCTGGTAAATAAGTTCTGTACAGCAATCTAAAATTGGGTCCTTTTGGATAAAAGATGATACCAAGATACGGAATTATTCATTACAGAAGGAATGTCCTACCCATTACCATGTGAAACCGGCTGTAATTAAGCATCTGTGTGTGTGTTTATAAACAGATGCTCTCATCTAAATGCCTTAGAAATAAACAGCTTTGTTAAAAGGCTCTCTCCAATTACAGAAAGTTAAGTGAAGCTAAGATTCCGTGACGTAACAGCTCTCCTCCACAGGCTCATGTCCTCCCATACGTACCCTGTATCTGACTTTACCAAATTTCAGTGCTAGGAGAGGTTCCCAAATGCAAGCCAGTTTCCACGGTAGAATACTTGCAGAGCAATAAAGTGAAGTAAATTTTCCAGGTCTAGTCCCAGAAGCACATTAGGATTTCATGCTTCGAGAGACATTCTTGCCTTTATTTCATACCAAGGACCTCCGCAACATTCCTGTACCTGGTAACAAAAATTTCATAGTATTTCTGAATAGTCTGACTTCTGCTTTTCTATTTCCCTTGTATGGGAAGAAGAGTTTCCTGCTAGCTGCAAATTCATTGCATCATTCAAAAAGCACCAGGCAGCAGTTTTGAGTGCTATTTTAAATACATCTTTCCAAAATGCATTAGATTAAGGGAGGTTGCAGAGGAATATCTAGGATTTTTAGAACCATTTTTCATCATTTGTGAAACGCAAATGCATATTAAGCTAACATTGCAAGCATTTATTTTGTGTTTTTAAATGTACCTCAGTATCTTTCAAAAGTTAATGTGGCATGTAAAAATGTAAAAAAAAATAAGGGCAGTTTAATTGTACTTTAAAATCTGTGCTTTTACAACGCCCTTCCCTTTCCCTTCCTTGTAGAAGAATCCCCAAATCCGCATGGATTCAGATGGAAAGACAAAAACGTATTTTCTTCATGTAATGTGGATTATGTAAAGTAATTTATCAGGTGCCCTAATAACCATTCCTAGACACAGCTTGTCAACACAGCCCCAGTGCAAGCACTATCCGGTCATTATCTCCAAGTTCATTTAATTGTCCCAAATCAGGATGACAGATATCTTCATAAATGCACAATCACCGTTTCTCTTCCCACCCCCTGAATTTCTGTCAGTTCCAAGAAAACCAAAACCAGGAGGATTTCTTGTTCTACACTGGAAGGGCAACCTCTTCCCCCTCAGCTCTTTCTCCGCTTCTCCAAGGCAGCAGCATTTTCTACTTTGCTTTTACTTCACTGATATTTTTAACTCCAGTTCTGCTTCCGTACTGACAATTTCTGGTCTTTTCTTGGCCCAGAAACGTGTCGCGCAGGAGCGGCTGGTGAAGCAGGGCTGTCCCAGGAGCGGGCAGAGCGAGCTGCTGGGGATGTCCCAGCTTCAGCGCTTCGCTCTTCAATGCCTCTGTGGTCTAAATCCAACTTCGGACCAGCACGCTACCCGCTTGCTTTTTTTTTTTTATTTAAAACCCGCCCAAATCTGTTAACTTCTCAGTGAAACGGGACTGTAATTTGTGGAGTTTATTCATATTTCTCAGTGAAAACACCCATGCTCCCAGTGCTTGCCAAGGGACCACCGTGTGTCTCCCTCCCTGCCCCCTGGGTCTCTCTTCTCATTCCCTCAGCGATTTTGGGGGGATTTTTTCTGTCTCTTTTTACGGATTTGCCCCCAAGCCGTCCATCCCGGTTTCCACCCGCCTCCAGAGCTGTCCTGCCGGCTCCCAGGTGGCTTTCCCAGGGTTTATTTGTCTCTCTCCCGCGCGGCGTC